GATCCCAAGACGGGCTGGGACCACTTTCCTCAGGACGGAAAATATTTGCCTTTGGTTTTCCGCTGCTGCCTCATCCCAGCCGACTTCCCCTCCTCCAGACAGCCACGAAACATGGAGGTGCTTGAGAGCAGAACCGAGGCGAGGGCAGCTGTCTGAGCCCAGTGTCCAGCTGTCTGAGCGGCACGCTTCCTCCCAGGGTGGACGGAGTACTTTCTGCCCGTGTTCTGGGCTCTTGTTTTCTCTGCCTACAGCTACAGGCCCAGCCCCCTCGGGCCTCACCTCCCAACTAAAGCAGACCCTTCCAGATCTCCCCCTCGGCCCCCCGCCCGGGCTCCCACCACTCAGCATCAGGGGAAAGAGCCCCTTCCAGCGGCACACAGCTAACTCACCATTTACAGACTCCGGAGAGCCCTGCTCTGGAAAGTTGCAGGAGAGGCCCCTTGGTCGGTCCTGCGATGCCCGTGGCCCCATGGAGAGTGGCAATCTTCTGCCCCTGAGAGGGGGGGCTCTAGAGAGATGTCAGTGTCACACCGGCCAGGCCAGCCAATTGTGAGGGCTCAGTGGAGGCTGGCTAAGCAGCTTTGGGGTACAGGGAGTTATCATCGGTCCCTACGCCGTCCCCACCCTGATGTAAAGACCTGGGCCCTGATGCCCCAGAGCTCTGAGTTCCAGTCTCAGCTCTGCTCACTATCTGCTGCGTGGCCTTGGGCAATTCACTTGCCCTCTCTGAGCCTCATGGTCCTCACCTGTAACCTGCCCTTCCCAAGGCCACACTGACAGGGTTCCCGCGAGACCGTGGGAGATGCTGTGCTTGGCGCCTGGGGGAGGCGTCCTAAAAGGTGGGAACTCCCAGCGCTCCAGTTCTGTCCAGACGGGACAAGGCCACCCCTTGCACTGCCTCTGCCTCCCAGGGAGCTGAGTGTGAGCTGAGGTCTTCAGGGAGGGCCTATAAGGGCTGACACCCCCAGGGCAGGGGAGGGCTTCTGGGACTGAGATTAAGGTCTGTCCACGGACCGTGTCCTGTCCCCCATGGCAGGTGGGCTGTCTCCCCGGCTGGAGCCTTGGTGTCTCTCCCCCACTGCCGTGGGTGTCTCAGATGGAGAGTGTGACGTGCTGGGTGCAGGACAGGGCCTGGGCTTCTGCACTTCCAGTAAGCGCCCAGGTGAGGCTGACTCCGCCAGCCTGTGGGCCACAGTGGGCCGCAGGCACTCAGCCCTCGGAGACTCCTGTCCTGCCTTGTCCCAGAGGCCAGGCTCGGTGAGGGGGTTCGGGTCCTGTCCTGTCTGAGGAAGGCAGTCCAAGACCCAGGGCCAGGCTGTGGCTCAGCCCTCCTGCTCCCACACCCCCCACCCCCGACCCGACCCCCTCCAGGGGTACAAGCACTTGAGACCCCAGCAGGGGTCCGCGGGCCACAGTCCTGGGGCAGAGGGCTTACCCGTACAAGCAGGAAACAGCTCTTCCAGCCTCCGGGGCCAGGGGTTGTCCTGATAAGCACTTCCATCTACAAACTTCATCCTCACAGCAGTCCTGGGGGTGGGTCCCTGATTGCCCTCCTTTTACAGGTGACAGCACTGAACCTGGAGACCTGACGCCCGGGGTCACACCCTTGGCGGGGGCACAGGGCCTGCAGGGCTGGACTCTGGTTCTCTGGGGCTGGGCCTGCAGATATGCCCAGCCTCTGCAGACTTCCTCAGGAAACAGCCCGCTTCTGCACCACCGAGGCAGGTGTGGATACAGCATGCTGTGTTTCCCTGGCCGGCCCCTGGTCTGGTCAGGGAGGTGGCGGTTAAGCCAGTACAGTCTCTTGGAGAGCTTTTGGCACACGGACCTGAATAAAAACCAGGTGTGCCCTCTGCCCCAGCAGTCCTGCCCCCAGCATTGCCCAGGGTCGTCCGCACAAGGAGATGAACTGCAGTGTCGTCTGCAGGAGTGAAAGAGCAGGGAGCCCCCAGGTGTCCTTCCCGGGGGATGAGGGAATACATGCGGGAATTCCATATAGCAGGGTAGGAGACAGGAAGGGCTTTGGGTATTAATGGGGTGCAGCCCCCAAGTTGGGTGAGAAAAGCACAGTGCTGACAGTGCAGAGATATTTGTATAAAAGAGGAAAGTGTATTCGATTTCCTCCACCCCCCCCCACAAGCATGTGCCACCTACTTAAGATCTTAAACCGTCTGGATGAATTTCCGCCCCCTGGGCTCTGCAGGTGGGTGAGGAGCCGCCTGGTGTCGGGCGCCCATCTGGCACGGCCACTTTCCAGCTGTCTGACGGCAGAAGGCCAGTGGCCATCAAGAGGAGGGGACGAGGCCCAGCCCTACTGCATCCTGCCATGGACAGTAGGTGGGATGGGGTCACTCCCCCTTTTTACAGATGATGAAACTGAGGCCCCATCCAAGGTAGGGGGACCAAACCCGAACCGCTGTGGAGGCCGTGTCCTCACCTCCTGTGGCACAGCGCTGTCGGATACACAAGCCAGGACTGGGTCAAGCCCTGAGCTGGTGGGACAGGGACCTTCATACACGGTGGGCCCAGGGCTCCCCGGGGCTGCTCCTGGTCTGTAGGTCACCCAACTGCCCACTGCATTTCTACCAGCACAGTGCTTTCCTTCACTCATCAAAACAAAGGCAACACGTTATAAAATTTACAGGCCGAGGCCACTCTGGGCTTCCATGGGCCCTGAGACGGGACTGTGAGGGCGTGGCCCACAGGGAGGGCTCGGGGAACACTGGGGCCGCGTCCGGCGGCGACCACCTCCAGCTCATGGACCTGACCCCTCTGCCGTGAACAGGAGTGAAAGTCGCCCTTCGGAGGTGGTGTTTCAAAGGACAATGCCCAAGAAGGGCCTAACAAGCAGACTGTTATTTCTAAAAGGTAAATATTTATAGTTTTTTCTAACAGAGGGAAAGTTCAGGAAAATCCCCGACCGGTCCCAGAGCTGGCTGCGGAAGCGGGGCCGGGAGGGCGGAGCTCCTGGGAGTGACAGGGGCCCGGCACTGGCCTCCAGCATCTCGTGCCTGCCCAGGTGGGCGGACACGCCGTCCTGGCACAGGGGCCCGGCGGGCAGTGGCCGGCACGCTGGGCGGAGCAGACTTGGCCAGCTGTCTGGAGGCCCCCACAGCCCCAGGCCCGTGGAAGGAGGCCTCAGAAAGGCCCCTGTGTCCATCCTGCTCTGGGCTGCCCTGCTCAGACCAGAACCTCCTGTCTTTGGAAAGAACATCAAGTACCGAGGTTGCTGCTGCCTCGCTGCGTGACCTCTGGTGTGTCATCCCACCTCTCTGGGCCGCCACGTCCTCACCCATAACAGGGCCAGTGATAAGTGCCCAGCTCACGGGGTTGAGCAAACAGCCAATGAGAAGATGGATATAAAAGTGCTCTGTCATCATCGCCCTCACAGCTCATTCTCAGTGCCCAGCCGTGTTCTAAGAAGCAGTCTATGAACTTCAACTTCTCTTACAGACGAGGCAGCAGAGGTACAGAGAGGTTAGGTGCTTGTCCAAAGTCACACAGCTTATGAGGGGCAGAAGTGTGGTGACAGGTAAATGATGGGAGGCCTCATATTATTACCATGAAGACTGGCCAACTTCAAACTCAGTTCCCAGAGGCAGCTCTGGCCCGTCTAGGACACTCCAGGAGGGGTGCGTGGCTGTGGCTGGATGTGACCCTTGTGGCAGGCACCGGGGCAGAGGGAACTCCCTCGGGCACTGGGATTTCAAGTCCCCTGTTTCCTGCGTGCCCTCCTTGTGCTGGGCCTTCTTTCCTGCCCCATCCTAATCCCCAGAGAAATTGCCAAGGATCACATGAGCACCCCCATTTCACAGACAGCACGGTTAAGGCCTGGAGGCAAAGGGAATCTCTGATTCGCACCAACACCTGGATTCGAACTCAGCCCATCTGGCTCCAAGTCTGTTCCTTAGGGCATAGGTCCTGGATGCAAGCAAGAGCAGTGGGCATCTGCATGCCCTTGGGGAAGAAGCGTCTTGGAGGGCCGCAGGGCCCTGGGGAAAACTTGTTCTGTCCCGCGCACTTCCTGGGGGCACCTATTCTACTGCCTCTGGGCCTCCACCTTTGCTCCGGCAGGGTGGACCATTTTACAGACAGAGAAATTGAGGCCCATTGAGGGGCAGGCTTGCCCAGGGTTCAGAACCCCACTTTCTGGTGCCTATGGGTTCCCCTCACAGATCACACGGCCCCCCATCTACTCTCGCACCCACCCAGCCACCCACCCACCATCCAAGCAGTTGCGATTCTCTGCTGTGTGCACCCCAAGTGCTAGGGACGGGGCGGCCAGAGGCAGCCGTGGGCTTCGGAGCCTCCTGGAGGAGGTAGGGGAGTGCCAAGCACGGGGACGGGCCCTAAAGCACACCTGAGTGGGAACGTGGGGTCAAGGGGGGCTTCCCAGAGGAACACCTTCATAAAACCTAAAGGAGGTGCCAGAGTTAGTGAGGGAGAGAGGAGAGGCCCCCGGAGGCAGGCGAGCGGCAGAGAGGCCGAGGAGGACGTGGGCCTGGCTGGCAAGCTGAGTAAGAGGGATGAGAGAAGGCAAATGGACAGGGTCCACCTGGTGTGAGGCCTCGTGGGCCCTGAAGACGCCATGGACTTTGTGCTGAGGGCAACGGGGAGCCACAGAGGGTGAGGAAGGGCCAGGCCCTGCAGCGGTGGGGAATGGATCGGTGAAGGGCATACGAGTGGAGGCCAGGAGGCCAGCGAGGAGGGGGCAGGACTGCTCCAAAGAGAGGAATGAGCCAGACAACGTGGTGGCAGAGGGCCAAGCAGGAGGGGTGAGAGTTGACGTGTCCAGGACAGGGCATCAGCGGGACTTGGCCCCAAACCCACCCACGGCTGGGGTTTCTCCAGAACCGTGCTCCCAACCCACTTGGCGACACCAGCCACCCCGGGCCGGAGGTGCTGCCTTGACCCACTGCCTTCAGACCTGCCTCACCAGAGCCTCCAGGTGCACCAAGTCTGGTTCAGAGATCCCAGAATGTCAGAGCTGGGCAGGGGGTGGGGGGTCAATGCCCTTAGCACGTCTGAGGCCCAGAAAGGGCAAGGGGGCCACAGAGCATGGGGGTTCAGGGCCACTCCCCCGGCCTGTGTCTGTAGCCTCCCCTCTCCTACTTCAGGCCTTCTGTCGCCCTGTCTCACTGCAGGGACAGTGTGACATTGAGGCCTGGGCAGCGGTGGCCTCCCCCAGTGGAGGCCTCCCTGGCACTGTTGTCTGGGCGAGGGTAGGATGCAGCTCCTAGCAAAGGGATGAGAAGATGTGAGAGTCCCTTGGGAGAGGGGTGGGCCCAGCGCAGCCCCCCAGACCAGCCTCGGTGATGGACAAGGCCCGGCCGGCCCCTCTGCCCCTCACCTGGAAACAGAGGCCGTGGAGCTGTGGCTGGGACTCGGGGAGACGTCAGAGGGAAACCCCAGGCAGCCCGTCCTGGCACTTCTCTGCTGCAGCTCCGTCTCCATTCCTGGCCCCTCATGTCTGGGTAAACCTGACCCTCAGGGTCCACATGACACCCCCGTGGCCCCAGAGCTCCTCTGTCACTTCCCCGCCCACCCGCAGAGCCAGCGCCAGGAGGATTCTGTCTCCCAAACACACTGCGTTTAGAGATCACCCCTTGTTCTCTCTCACGGGGTGCAAAGGAGCAGCTAATTGGGCCTTTGATGGATGTGAGTGAGCCCAGGGTCGTGGGCCTCACGTTTGTCAAATGAATGGGTGAGTGAGTGGATGGGTGGGTGGGTGAGTGGTGGATGGATGGGTGCGTGAGTGGATAGATGGATGAATGGGTGGATGAGTGGATGGGTGAGTGAGTGGGAGGTGGGTGGGTGTGCGAGTGGGAGGTGGGTGGGTGCGTGAGCGTGCGTGAGCGGGTGGGT